CTGAATTGAAACAATTTTGGTATCGACGGGTTTGTCTTGTTGAGACAGTTAGTTTTACTATAAATTTATTGAAACTAGGACATTGATGATATTAAATTTAAATTTTAAATGTTTATCAATACAAAAAATGCATCTGAGATTCATAGGTTAGATGATATATAGATATATTAAAATTGTGAGGCAAATAATTATATTTTAATTAAACACGGGATTATACTCTTTTCATTTTTTTCAGGCGCCAAACATACACGCATAATTCCAAAGGTTAGAAATGGCCTATGATAAAACTATTGAAATTTGAAAATATTTTAATATTATATTGAAATTTTTTAATCATTAAATTTTAAGAATTCAAAGTCCTGCATAATTTGGAAAACAATATTTTTATTTTTATGATCTGAAATGGATTTTAAATAATTTATCTATGTTCCTTATATTATAATTTATGAGATGCCAGTGATGATAACTTGTATATTAAAAATAAAAATAAAAAATGTAATTTTCAGCTCCCATGGTAGCTTTTTTTCACATTATTATAATTATTTAATTTTAATTTCCACAAGTTTTTTTTTATAACTGATTTACAATGTTGCCACTTCATGTGGCCATGTCCTACTGAACTGGAACACACTAACCCATTCTTGAGTTTCTTGGGTTCGTTTGGGGCAGCTTATTTGGTGCGGTGACGTTTTGAAAACGCACCTGACCTGTTTGGGTAAACTGTGTTTTGGCAGCTTATGCGTTTTCAAAACGTCAAAAATAGCGTTTTCACACCACACCTATCTAGGTGCGGTTGCAATTTTCTGACAGCGGTCTGTCTTTTCCAAAAAAATAAAAATTTATAATAGCAGCCACACTTAGCTTATCAGCAGATTATTTTTAATCAGCTTATCAACAAATTATTCAATAAGTTGCAGCTGCCCCAAACAAATTTAGACAGCTATTTAATTTCTAGTCCTACGACCTAGCCAAAATGAAAAACTCGCCCTTGGAATCTTTTCTACATTGCCATAATAAAACTAAAACGAAAATTTCGGGTATATAAATATAAAGAAATAAAATTGCATTTGGAATAGTTAAATGCTTGTTTCATAAACATTCTTTATGCCCTAAAATTTTCCATGTTTCTTGCTGGCAAACCTCTAAGAAAAGCACACAAACAAACCTTTCATTATCACATCCAAGCACAAAGCATGAGTGTTTCAAAGCCGCTTCTTTTGGGAGCATTAGAAGCTGCACTAGCAATCACCAAAACTATGAGATTGCTCTTCCATTTTCCTTTTAGTTTCGTATGTCGCAACATTTTCTTCCCGGTCTGTCTAATTATGTGCTTTGGGCTACTTACACCATTTTAGGGCTCCCCCAAGATGTTTGGAAAATAGATTTAGCAGGAGCTCGGTGTAGGTTAGCAAGGGAAGAAGAATATGAAAGGTCGATGTTGTTTGGAAGAGGATAAGCGACGTTCGACAGCTGTCCTGACTGAAAACAGTGGAGGAGGCCACAAAATGATAATGTATGGACAATGAGTAGATTTACTACTTGTTCATGAACAAGCAACTGGCACATCACTTGCAAAAGTGAGTAATACAACACTCCTTAGGGCAGAAAACAAAGATTGCAGGGTATTGTGGAATTCACGCTATCAGTATCATGAGATCTTTCCGGCTAGCAGATGTTTCTTATTATACTTTAGAATAACTTTGATTCCATTGTCAGATGTTTTTTTCCCCGCAAAAATATCAAAGGAAGTTTCTAAAGTTGCGGTTCAACAATCATATTTGGCCATCTGCCTATGTGTGCGCCGCTAAACTGAACTAGAACTTAGTATCCAACTTACTCCATATGAGCTCTTAAAAATAGCTCAAAATCTTCACATCTCTATTTGAAGTGATTATATGTTGGACCTCCCTTATTAATGACAACCAAGAAGATAGAATATGCGTCTGATAATCTTGAAATTCTCTTAACATGGGCTACATATGTCTGATATCAGATCCTCTAACTCATTTTCATCTCGGATAACCAATTATAATCTTGTTGGTGCTCCTCTCAAGACTTTCAAAAAGATAATTCGTGGCACGACATCTTCAAACTCTATATGAATGCTCCTTGCATCATACTCTTTTCAAGGCAACAATGCAATACGCTTCTCATTTTTGGTGAAAGATAGTCATCATGATGTGTGAACGATACCACATCACACCACGCTTGCTTGTGAAATTTATCTCCAACAGAAAACTCCATGAGGAAGCTTCTATCAACACTGATATTACTCACTTTTTTCAAGAGAGAGCATAATGTGTGCTTCTTTATGACCAACTTCAACTTGTTGCTCACTCTAGCAGATACAATATTTTCATAAGTGCCTCCATCGATAATGAGACCGCACAAATTTTTCCTTATGGTGCAACGAGTAAGATGTATTGGCGGTGCTAGTGTTGCTTTCTAATGGGATTAGAAAGAGTACCAGCTAAAGGACCGATCAGATTATTAGCATCTCTTTCTCTCTTTGGTTGGAAGTTGGTACTCCTTTGCATCCTTATATTCTCCAGTGTCTCATAGTCATTGTCTATATTGTTCACTGCTCCCTGCTTGGAGAAAGAGATCACCTTCCTATTCAGGCAATAAGAAGCAACGTGCCCAAATATGGCCCTTGAAGCACTTCCTGACAGACAAATTTGAGAGTGTTGGTGATCTTCACATTTTCTCCACTCTAAATTGATTTATCCTCGTGCGGGATGGACTGGGTTGCTCCATTGGATATACCTTTGTTGCATGAATCCTAAGGTTAAACTTTATTTGTAGGATATAGTGGTCACTTGATGACGATGTTGATTCTCTAATTTCAAATTTAGGGTCTGTACATCGAGTGGGACTAATATGATAACAATTTAACCACATTATTAATATACATTCTTGCTTCCCCAAAATACCATGTGCAATTATGGTTTCACCTCTCATATTTCAGCACGAGTTGTTAAATTTAACGGTGTACTTCACAGGAAAAATCTCTCTGACGCAGGTTATGGAGTTTTATGAACATATCATATCGATAATGCAAGAGAAGGTAATTGTGTTGCATCTACAATTTTATCTTTAGATCATGTAGTGATCTGATTCTTCTCTTTCTGTTCAAGAAAAAGCTTCTGCTCTCCTGCCACAAAAAAATGTTCTTTGTAAACTTAATGATGGCTAGTTTAACTCTTTTATCCAGGAACAACTTTTATTAAAAAATTTGTTCCATTGTCGGGCCACTCAATGAATTCATGAATCCAACCATCTATCAAAATCTGACAAATTAATCTTTACTATAAAATCTCAACTTTTTCTCTAATATTTCAAGCCAAATAGTCGAGATATTGATTCTTTGTCACTAATAATTTCATGATAGAAGAGAAACACTTCCTTCTCTCAATCTAGCGAGCCATTGTTATGGCTATAAATGACTTTCCAGATTATCTCTCTTAAAAATGAGAAACATTTGTTTCAATTGAAAATTTTCCTTAAGTAGATCCACAAAAATTGATGGAAATTTCTTTGAATATTTCCCCTATGCAATATTGAGTCATTTTTTTCTCTCGATGATGTAGGGTTGCAAATCAAAGGTTGGTCGGCACTTCGGAATTTAATGATAAGTGTCAGGATGAATTTTTAATGGAGGTAGAAAAGACTCGCTCTTAAAAATTTAGGGTTGAAACTAAGAATATTCTTATGCAACAAATAGAGCTCATTTGAAATGCTCAATCAAGAATATTCTTGAGCATCAATCATGGAAAATATAAGTATGATAAATTTATCTCCATAGAAAACCACGATCCTCTAGATCAAAAATAAATTATTATCAGCTCACAATCTCTCAAACCAATATATAGAGGACATTATATCTTAAACCTTCTTTGAAACTTTCATGTTTCCCTACTTATTTTTTAAAAATTATAAAAAGAAATAAGGATGTTTAACTCAAGCTCTTGAGCGATTTCAAAGCCCATAATTTCAAGCACCACTCTAACTTGCCTTAAGGCCTAAGAAGACTGATAATTCTTGTTCAGTTTTGTACTCTCTCCATCTTTATTGTGAATTTTGAGGACTTATAATGTCTTATGTACCTTTCTTTGAGAGGAAGGAGATGGTGGTATCTTATAATGAAGTGAGACTATAGGATTACAAATATTTAAATATCAGCCCAAATTGAGCAAAATTGATTTGATCATTAGTTTGGTTGAACCGCTTAGCGCAACTTGAGTAAAATTGACAAAGCTTGAGTTACAAAGCAAATCACAATCAAATCAATGCTTAAAAATAGACTAGGCATGTCATTATTTGAGTAAGATTAGCTTGACTAACTTGGCTTTATCATTCCCCTTATCAGGTACAATATTTTTAGATTTTGCAAAAAATAGAACTATAATTTAGCCTCTTCACCACTTCAAGTTCAGAATCAAGTTTTAAAAAATCTAAGACATTTGGCCCATACTTTTTTCAGCTCACCATAATGATTTGCCCTATTTAGGGATATTGGTCTGAAATTAAAAGAAAAAAAAGTGAGCATTTACATAAAAAGCTCACAAATCTTATGTATTTATATATCTCATGTCTAAGCTTTCATATTTATACACATAGCACTCAAATCTTTAATATCACATGAAAAAAATCACTATTATCACTTTTTAAAAGTAATATCCATCTTTTTTATATATAAGTTTAAAGAACAAAAGAGTTATGTATGTAAATATAAAAGTTCAAGGGTGAGATATATAAATACGTAAGAATTGTATGCTAAGCATGTAAATTTTCCAAAAACCAACATATTATATGGCTCATTTTGGATATTACAAAAGTTAATGGCAAAACATAGACAAGTTAATTAAAATTTAATAATCAATTTGGAAGGTGGTTGCATGAAAATCTCTAATGAAACAGGGCAGGTTAGAAAACAACCAAGAGATTGTTTACAATTTACACGCCTACAGAAATAAACAAGCACATCTTATCAGGAGCTGAGACATGGAGAAGATAAAATTTATGCTGCATACAACACAATCATAAAAAATCAAATTTCAAAAATAAATTTAATCTATAGTTTAATTTCCTCTTGAGGCACATTTAATACAACTAATGCTTCAAAACATAACAGTAAATTGAAGGCTTTAAACTCATAAAACCTTACTTTGCAAGACTGTTAAGACAGATTAGCCAGTGGGAGCTTCAGGAAAGTTAGCAACTACAATTGTTGATGATATGCTCATAAGTACTTAGGCAATGGCTCGGTAAATATGAAATTTTAAGGGCATGTAACCAAGTTTTCTGTCACTATTAATAAGCTGGATAAGAGGTTTTTTTTTTTCATGATTAACCTGGTAACACCTGAAGCTCAATAATTTATAAGAAAATGAGTGGTCTGGTGCTTTTTTATACTGCTCTTCTATGTTTCAATAATCTCATAATTTGTGTTTAGTTGATTGAAAGCATTTATAATTGATACGGCTATTTGCACCAAATTCAAGTAAATGTTTGTTGCAGGATAAGCTGATGGAATATTATTACAGGAGCATCTTTAGCTGAAAGCCTGGAAACCAAAAGAAATTTATGAAAATCATAAAAAACATAAAGGAAGATTTACATGCATACCAGTCAATTCTTATGTATTTACATATTTAACACATAAGCTTCAATTTTTATATACATGCCACCTTACCTATGCATGAAAAGGAGTATTTCACTTTTAAAAAGTTAAAATGGGGGTATTTTTTATATGATTTGAAGGATTTGGGTGTTATAAATGTTAAAAGTTAAGTTTAGGAGTTGGATATGTAAATAAATAGGAATCGGATGGTATGTATGTAAATGATCTATACATAAATTAGATAGCTTGACTCAAATGCCTATTTGCATAATGAATTGGTGCAGTTGTGAGAAAAGGACAGAAGATATAGTGAAATTAATGAAATATGCAGAAAAAAACAAAGTTTAAATATAATGATGACGGTTTTATAAACTAATCTTAAACAATACCTGATTTGGAAAGCTCGCAAGAATAATACCTTGCTATTCTCTAGTTAAGAATCTGCAATAAGAATTCGTTCGCATATTTCAGAAAAAGATTTCACATCGGAGCCCCATAGCCTGCATTTTTTTTTTTCAGAAGGAATGGAACGTATAAGATAATAACAGAAAAATCAAACAGTATATAATACCAAACTAATAATAGTTGTTTCGCTAAGTCCTCGTTACGATAAACACTTAAACCAGAAGACAGACGGTTCCATACTTATAGAACGTAATCAACTTGAAAAAATTAAAAATTAAAACAAAACAACAGAAAATAAAGCTCTGTGCCTCATGTTGTAGTAAAATTTTCTCATTATCAAGTGATTAAAATTTCACATTATTATGAGATATTTGCTCATCAAGTATTATTATTATGAGATATTTGCTCATTGTATATATATTGTTCCCTTATTATTATGAGATATTTGCTCATTACATACTCTATCTCTCTCCATCGAAAAAAGAATCAGAGCCAGGTTCCCTATATTTTCAGCTTGCGAGTCCTTGTTTGTAATGGAGCCAGTTTTCATTGCATCACATCCTTTCAAAGGGTAAGAAATAGGGTCATGCCCCTTGTTTACTCAGTTTTCTTGTTTGTGTCAATGCCCTCCAAACCTATTAGGATCCGTTTGGCATTAGTTTTGTTTCTCCTTCTTTTTTTTTGGTTCAAAACATGTTTGGCTGATCTAATTTTTATTATTATCATTACTTTTTAAAACAAATCAACTTGTTTTTAAAGATATTCAAAACACTCAAAAAGTTATTTCGAGTCTTTTTAAAAACAACTAAATCAACCAAGCATGTTTTACTTTAAATCAAAACATAAATAAATCAATAAAAATATAAAATAAACTGATCCCAAACGACCCGTTAGCAATTGTCTATGTTCATCAATACCCTCTGAAAAGGGCGTTGAAGAGAGGATCATTCTGATGAAGGCAATACTTTGTATATATTAGAGTATGAAAGAAAGCAAAAGACGGAAAGTTTTGGTTGACTTAGTATGGAGTTTGGACAAGAGCTTAAACTTGGGTTAGTCAAGTATTGAATCATAAATTGTCTTTTGAGAAACACACCCCAAGGGATAGGACTGAGAGGAGGAAAAAGAGAGAGAAACATTCTGTCTTTATTTATGTGGTGACCGCCTATTTATAGGGGCCTCAAAATACAGTTATAAAATATAGGAAAATAATTATAATAACTGCCCAAATAACTGAATTCTGTCGAATGAAAAATACAATATAATAAAAAGAAAATATGATATATGTCGGTCGCTCAAAATTATGGATCGACCGATCAAATCGATCAATAGGATGACTTCTGCCGAAGGATCCAATCAATCGATGAATATCCTTTGATCACTCAATCTCATCATCTTGCCAGATGGGTCTGCCCGTCACCAAATTTGTCGGTCGCCAAGTATACCTCGATTGGCTCGGACTAGTCGGTCGACTGCTATCTGTCAATATTCGCTCTTTGATTCAGAATTTTTATCGCCTAGGTCTTCATCCTTCGTTGTTCAATTCCTTTGAGCTTCGTGTTGTCATTTTTGCCCTGTACATCTAGGGCTAACTTCTGTGAGGCTTTTGAGGGGTTGGAGTGGAGCTTGATCAAGAAGAGAAGGAGACAGAGAGAAGTAATCTTAGGGTTTGGGGGGGAGGTGATGACTTAAAAGGTAAAAGAAAAAAAAAGGAAAATAGGAGGTGAGAGGTCAATCTTTACTTAGGATTTGGAGAAATTGAAGCTTGGTATGTAGACTTAGGGTTTTAGGGTGATAGAAGGGGTTTAATGGACTTGTAGAGAGGTTGGAAGTTGCAGCTGGCTTTAGGTTTTATGCTGTTTTTAAGGAGAAGGCCAAGAGCTTCACGAAGAAGAGGAAGAGAAAGTTCAAGTAAACAGAAAATAACACTCTTGCCACAAATGTACAGTAGTTTTGTTTTATCCAACAAGCACTGTTGCAAAGCAAATAGATTTCTTTCCTAAATCAGTCAAGTTTTTGCTTACAAAGGAACCCAGTGCACCAGCTTAACATCTCGGAGATTACATTGTGTTCTGGGTGATCCACCTTTCTCTCATAAAAGCGATCAGATTTCAAATCCAAGAAAAGAATCCAGTTGGGTGGAATTCGCCAATATTCTGAAAGGAAGAATTCCAAGCCATTTTCATCTCGCTATTCCTAAGGATCAGGCTAGGCAAGCTAATCACCCAATCCAGCTTAGAAGCTGCAGAGCAGTCACCAAACATTTTCATTAGAATTTTGAAGAAGCAAAATTAATTTCTTTCAGCAATAAACAAATAAGGTTACATAGGAGAAGTGCTTTTAGAATATAAGCTTGCTAATCTAATGGTGGCCAATCAAAGATGAGTTTGGCAATATTTTTGGCCATGTAGAAGGACTCCCATGGATTGATGACATATCTAACAGCATAAAATAAATAAATAAATTACATAACTCGTACATAGTAATTACCAAATTCAACGAGATTCAGAGTGACTTCTTCTTCATGCAACCTTTAATCAAATACGCTCTTTAGAAAACGTGTTATGATTCCTTGGAGGGAGCCTTAAGCTTAATTTGGACAGTTGAAAACAATCTGGGAGTAAAGGGGCTACCATGATTCCTTAGAGGAAGACTTAAAATTTGGACACATGAAAACAATCTGGAAGTAGAGGGATGACTAAACAAGCCTTAGGTCATGCTTTGTGATGCGTGCTTGATGATGACACCTAGAATTTTGATGCAATGTGTTAATGAAAGTACTCAATTTGTGCACCATACCCTTCAATGATGTGTATCAATTCACATGCATCATGTCAAAAGAGGTTGTGGGCTCCTAAAATTTGTTGCCCCGGCACCTCGAGAAAATATATGACGATATAAATTATTTGAGGTTCTTGGGTCAAATTTTCAGAAGACAGAAAAAATTGTAGATAAGATACTACTCAGAGATTTTACACTCACTTTGTGAGGACTTTTTAGATATGAGATTCGAGGTTTCTCATAGGTGCAAATCCCTACGGTTATTACCCTCTCCTAGCAACATGAGAGCCCTTTCGATTATGTTTACTCATTTGAGCATTGAGTACAAAACATATAGTAACAGCAATTTAGGGTTTTAAATTATATAAATGTAATTGGATTTTATATTGTGAGAATTTATCAATGTGAGCTTACAAGTATATTGTTAGGGGAAATGATGATGAACTCGAACGAGATCTAATGGTTCCCTCATCCGGATAATCATGAATCTTGTCCTACTTAGTCAGAGGAAGTAGCCGACCAAACTTAATAAAAAAATTCGTATCAACAATCATCGATTGCTTCGTCTAAGGGGCCCTTATAGAACCTGATGATATATTTTTCTAAGGAAACTAATTTAAGTCGACCTTAGTAAGCAAATAGATGTCTTTGTGCCCTATTGAATATACAATATGATTCATGTCTCAAAGAGTACTCATTGGGACATACGGGCAACAGTCGTGGTCGTAATTTAATAGTATCATTTGACAGCAACCACCCGGTCAGAGGGCTCAGAGCTTAAACGGTTTTTTTTTTTTTTTTTTTTTTTTTTTGGGGAGTCTGTTGGTAAAGTCACTCGAACAAAGGTCACAAGTCATGCCTTCACTAACATAGATGGATTTGAGAGTGAATTTAGTAGTATATATAATGTGACATTGGCTTTATGTGAGCTAGGGTCAATCATAAATTTATCGCCATTGACAAAGTGGTGCAGAGGGTGAATTAATTTTGTTTTTAATTTTAATGCTTTCAATTTTACAACTTTTTTACTTTTTATATATTATTAGGATTTTACCAATTTTATCAAAATTAAACCATGTAATTTTGCATCTTGTTTGTAAATGATCGAGTTTGGGATTAACATATAATTGATTTTAAACCTTATCAACTTTGTCCTACTTAAGAGGATCGGATCCATGAATTAGAGCAGTTAAATGTATTTAGATATTCATTATAACTTCATTTTGAAAATAGACCCTTTCGATTGAAATTTTCTATCAACTCGGCTATCATCGGAGAATTTGAATAACTAAGACTTGTCAACTCTGTCCTGTTTACAGAAGATTGGGTCCAGAATTTTATGGACAAAATTCAAATATATTTTGAACTTCGAAACTTAATTTTTAAAGTTAATTCTTTGACTGAAATCTTCCATTAACTCGGTCATTATATTTTATATAATTTTGAAACTTGTGAACTCTGCCTCATTTAAAGAGAATCAAGTTCGAGGATTGTAATAGTTGAGCTTATTCAAAAAATTCTTGAAATTTAATTTAGAAAATAAACACATCCAATTAAAATTTTCTATCAACTTGGCTATCATTATATATTTTGAAAAACTTTGAACCTTGTCGACTATATCCTGCTTATAGAGGACCGGTTTCATGAATTGAAATGGTTGAATTCATTTATTATAATAAAGACTCCGTCAACTATACCATATTGATGGCAGATCAAGTCTATAATTTGGAGCCCATTATATACAATAGTCGGAGCACATACATGCTTAAAGATGTAAACTTATCGATGTTTTTTTTTCATTTAAAAAATGACATCTTTGAGTCTAAAATAACTTTCAAAATTGTATTTTGTCGGCCGTTATTTTTTTTTGAAAGGATGTGATTTTTGTAAATATGAAAATAGTTTTAATCTAAATATGATTTTTGAAAATAACATTTTAATTTAAAAATAGATGAGACCAAACAAGTCTCACATATTGAATAGTTTGGATGGATGAGCGCGATACCACAAGTAATACACTACCTCAAAGGATAAACATATCACTTGACAGTAGGCTCAACCACCTAAACTAATGAGTTTGTGACATCCGTTTAGCCTGCGAAATTTTTTTATGTATAACCGGCAAGTTTCCCTACCTAATATAAGGATTAGATAGGGTTAATTTTACCTGGGTTTCAAGTTCCCTATAGAAACAAGCCCCTATAGTTAATTACATCTCAAATGATCGGGATCACTTAAGAAAACTCTCGATTAAGATCAGTGGTTTTGTCTTAGAGATGTCAAAGTTTAGGTTTCCACGATTAGACATGGGAAA